ATGACTTCCTGCATCGACCCCCCTCACCCACTGGAGCCCCCACCGCCCTGGCCAGCCCCCTCTCCTGGACACATCCGCTGGACCACAGCTCTCTGTGTAGTTTCTACCTCACGCTTCTTTCCTACCCCAAACTGCACCCGGCCAGCTTTCGTGGGCCCCTCCAACATCTGCTAACACAACAGTTGCTGCCTGTTCTGAGGCCTGCTCTGGGAGGTTCAGGGACTCAGTGTGTGGGCAGCTGCAATCAATCAAACCTCTGTTTCAGCATCCCGACCCCTCCTCACAAATGTCTCCCTTCTGTCTGAAGCACTGCTGAGAAATACAATTTGTTGCTCTTTCAAACTGACCGGCTTGGAGTTAAAAATACAGCAAGGACTGTGACACCCAGGGGCATGCCATTCATGGTAATCTTTAATTGTTGCTTCTTCTGAAATCTTGGCCCCCACGCATGTGATCCGTGTCTAAATGGCCACGCACAGCCCAGATCTCGCCGGGAGTCAACCGATGCTTGGTGGTTGAACCAGGTCTCGAAAAAGCAGTAACTAATAATGTCAGCGAAAGTCCCGCTCATAAACTACTCGTACCCTCAGGCTGGGCCCTGCCCTCGAGGACACATGCTGTCATTTTGCAAAAGGGAGGCGGCTGTGGCTTAACATAAAACACCAGGCCGGAGGAGCCTCGACAGACCATGCGAGGAAAGCTGCCGGGAGGTCAGCAGGGTCAGAACCGGCTGCATGGGGCAAGGCTGACCCCGGGCCGCCTTCAAGCATCTTGCTCTGCGGACCCAGAGCTCGCAGATGCAGCTACAGGGAGGGAGGGCCTTTCTGAGCCAGGTCCTTGCGTCATCCCTCCCCACAGGGCTCTCCTCCGTGCAATCACTCTCCCTCACTCAGGACCCAGCTCCCTAACCGTGAGCTAGGCACTCGGGTTTTAAGGAGACCAAAAAGCAATTTCTAACCCCTTCCCGGCACTGTGTGCTGGTGGCCTCACTGCTGCGAGAGACAAGAGCCACTTGGCCACCAGCTAGACACCGGTGCCCCGGAGACCAGGCTGGGGAGGTCAGGACATCTGGAGGGGCGTCTGGTGGGCTCCTGGGGCCAGTTCCACCCTGGTTCCACGGGTGACAGACATGAGACAAGAACGCTCACCCGGCCTCCTCTGGCAGGTGGCGATTCTGATTCTGTCACCATTTCGCAATCCCCTGTTTCAAGCCCGAGTTCACCGCAGGCTGAGCAGAGCCACAGGGCAGGCCTCCTTTCCATTTTCAAAAGAAAAGGATGAGGCAAGAAGAGGAACCAACAAGAAGAAGTAAATGGCAAGGACAGAAAAGGGGGGCTAAATACAGAAGGAAAAGATGGACAAATAAAGAATAGGGGAGTCTTCAGAATGTCACCCTCAAGGCCCAGTTCTGCCTCTGGAGTCGCCCAGAATGAGCCCACGCCATCCCTCCCAATTCCTGTAGTTGTCACAACAGCCAGTAACTGTCAGCTCTCGCCGGGCCAGTCTGTGCACTAGGTGAAGTGTGCACATGTGAGTGTGTGTGTAGATAAAGATACATACACATATCAACAGATATTACGGACACATACATTTATACACGCACATCCATATATAGATATACACGTACACATACATGCACACACACGGACACGTGAACGCATTTGCACAACATATGCACACGCATGCACACATTTCCCCTATTCCTCCCAACAGCCCTACGTTGATGATGGTGGTGGCAGTGGTAGTATTATCTGCTGCACAGAGATGTTAAGCAGTTTGCACAGGGCTGTCAGCCTCCAGCACCATTTCTGAGGCCTTCTGATTGGTCAATATACCCCCAGATGCAGATCTAAAGGTGAAGACCATGTTCCAGAAGGGCCTATTTCCTCAGGAGGGGCCAGGATGGACACAGCCTGAGGTCACGTGTACCTCTCCCACCCTCTGCTTCTAGCTTTTTTTTTTTGTAAGTTTTAATGCTTTGCAATGAATATCAACTACTAATTTAATAAAAAAGTCTTCAAGTCAAAAGGTGGGGAATGGCTGCTTGAGGCGATAAAGACCCTTTTTACAGGCCTGGCCTGTACCCTCCGGGGGCTGCTTGCTCAAGAAGGTGGAGAGGCACCCAGAGGAGAGGGTCCAGGGAGGGGTGAGAGGCAGCCTCAGAGCAGGGCCCACCCCAGTACCCTTGCCCCCTGTGTGCAGGAGGCAGGGCCCGGGACCTCAGAGGGGCTGGCCTCCTCTGCCAGTCTGACTCAGGGGTCTTTCCCTGGTCTCTTTTCTGCTGGAAGTTTGGGGAGACTCTGACTACCAGCCACTCTCGGGGTGCTGCTGGGGCTCACACCAACCCCGGGGGGTCCCAGCCCCGGTCAGTGCCTCTGGAAGCCAGGGTTTATCAGAACCCCTGTCATCCCAAAGGGCTGACTGAGATGGCACTCACTCTGCACCTTCAGCCCAAGTCTTTCATGCACCTGAGTCCAGAGCCCACGCACACAGGGGCACCCTGCCGACGATGCTCATGTGGAAAGCCCTCCTCCCAGGTAGGAGACTATATAAACCAAGATCAAAAGACCCGTAAGACAGAGAGTCCACCACCCAGCTGGAGGACACACGGAGCAGTGCCAACTCTCGACACAAGCCAACCTTTCCACAGACTTGCAGACCCACTCGTTTCCCAGCAGCTGCAAATGCAGGTAAAGCCACGTGGAGGCTAGGGTCTGGGGACAGTTAGTCTCACACCAGCCGCCATCTGGCCGCGAGCAGGTCCCTACAAACCAGTGACACTGGCTCACGGGGTGCCCAGGCACAGGGCCCTGCATGTTCCAGGCTACATCCAGGGCTCCTTTCAAATGCATAGAGGTTGCCCTGGGCTTGGCTTTCAAGGCTCCTAGAGAAGCAAGGCCCATCTCCTGAGGCCATAAGTCATCTGAGGGGGGAGAGCCAAAGCAAGCAGAGCCCATGGGAAACGGCTGGCTGGGTCTGGAGGCTTGGCAGGGGGGGCGGCTCAGGGTCCACCCATCCCCAGGGTGCTGCCCGCAGCCCTTCGGCCCACAGGCTTCCCAGGGGCCCCTTCTCCGCTCTCCCTAGACTCTGCCCTCCCCAGGCCTCAGCCAGGGAAAGGCAGGCAGAACCAGGGCAGCCTCCTCAGGCTCTTGGAGGCCTGCCTGGAGCTGATGGAGCAATCCATACATCTGGGCACAGCCCCACCGAGCAATATATCTTTAAATGGTTTCTACCCAAGTGAGGACGGGAAATGTCTCCAGTGATGCCAGGGGTGTTATTCCAACTTGCGGCTAGTAAAATATAATAACACGTGTAAGTTGTTTTTATTACCTATCTAGCTTATTAGCTAATAAAATAAGCTCAGCATTAAAAATTTAACTGAAGCCCTTTCTCGTGCACCCAGAACTCAAGACTCTGGGTTTCCTTTCAGAAGTCAACAAATCTGTCACCTCTCCAGCATTCTTACCTATTTAAATTTCTCCAAGAAGGAAAATTCCACTCGCCTGTCCAATGTCCAGGAAATGTGTTCAATCGCCGCCTAGCTAGGAAAGCACTCAGGGGAAAGCAAGGGATACACCTGGGGCAGCCATGTGATAGAAGGAAGGGAAACTGGAGATGAGGGCAGAGGGTGGAGTCTGCCCAGTCCTCCCGCAGGCTCTTCCCCAGGCGAGCCCCACCGGACCGGGGAGGCGGGAGCACCACCAGCTGGTCCTCCGACTGCCCCAGACCAGGGCCTAGGCTCTTAAGCAAAGTGGCCAGAAAGCCTGGACTCAGGGGCCAGGTGTGCTCAAGACTGGAGATACCTGCACCTCTTCTTCTGGGGAGACCTCAAGGCTGGGAGGAAAACCAAGAGGAAAGAGAAGGAAACTCCATAGACAGAAGCCATATTTTCATTCTAAAAGGAGGCCTGACTGAAAAAAAGCACTGGCCACTGAAGGAAGGTGGTGGAGCCCGCCTGAAAAGGAGTGGACGTGACAAGCCTGTTTGCCCAGATGTGCGCACATGCTCGTGAGCAAGGCCAACCTCTCACCAAACCGGCCTCTGTGACCCTCCAGCCCAGCCGTGACTGATGCTCATGTAACAAGACTAGAAAGGACGATAATCAAACCGTGGCCCTGAGCACCTAAGGGCCTCCTGGACACAGAACCCGGCGCGCCACCTTCTGCCCACCATATCCACCTGTCCTCGGGTGGACAGCCACAAGGGCCAGCCCTGCTCCCTGGGCCTCACCATCACACGCTCTCATCCTTGGGATTCCCCAGTAAAGAAACAAACGCAGGCAACGCTCAGGCATGGAGACTGTCCTGATCGTGGCGCATTAACTCCAAGTTCCTCATTCAAATCAGTACCTGAGATCAGAGTTAGCAGGAGGCAGGGATCCGAGACTGAGGATAAAGTGCATGTGACAGAGGCATGTGGCCAGAGGCCTCACCTATAGTGAACAGCAAGGACGATTACATAGGTGCCACTGACAAGTGATCACAACTTCTTGATGGTCTCACATTTTCAGCAGTTTAACCAAAAGAATAAGTGCTTCCCACCATTTCTCGCTTTCTAAAACCATCACCCAGGGCCCTGACCTCAGGATCAGCGTAATCCAAGTGACACTGCATCCCGGCCTGTGCGAGCACTTCTTGGGGCGGCTGCAGGGACGGGTTCCTGGGAGAGAGGCTTCAGAGAACTGCCAGGAAGGGGGTAACCAGTGTGTGGTGATGCTGGTCTGCCCAAGGCCCTGTCCGTCCCCATCTGTCCGCTCTTACACCACTAGCACTGGGTTCACAGGGAAAGAACAGTTCTGATTTTAAATGGAAAGAAAAAGACCCTTTACAAAGTGGGGCTTGATTTTCTCCTTCTCGGAATAGGATTTTAAAAAGCAGGAAATTAACCCATTCCTGGGGGTGTCTGAAACTGACCCCCTGCACTTGCCTGGGATGGGCCAGGAGCAGCAGAGGCTCCGAAAGGCACCTGCAGCACCTCTCAGCACCTTCTGGGGCTCTTACCTGTGCCATCTTGGCAAGGTCCAGGGAAGGCCTCGGCTCCTGCACCTCTTCGGGGCGCCGCCGCTTAACGCCGACCTTCTTGTCGTTAAGGACACACGGCTGGGAGCGGCTGCGGGAGAGCCCGCTAGAGCGTCTCCCCAGCTCTGGCGTTGAGGCAGGTGTGCTGTTGGCTGAGGGTGGACAGTACTCCGCGAACGAGAACTGCTCGTGCGAGCAGGAGAGGGACCGTTGCATGTCAAGCCGGCCCCCACCCACCAGGCTCGGGTTGGGGCCCCAGATGTCTCTCGCCTGTCCACAGATGGCGGAGCCGGGCACCCCTTGGCAGGGCTGACCACCGAATTGGTGGTGAAAGGCCGCCTGGTCACAGGGCGAGGAGAGCACGTTGGCCCGGGAAGGGAGGCTGAAGCTGGAGCTCCGCTGCATGGTGCTGAAGCCGTTGGAATAGCGCTGGACGCTGCCCCCGCTGTAACAGCGCCTCTTTTCCACAGGCGTCCAGACTTTGGACCCCAAGGGCCTCCATGATGTTCGGCAGCTGGACATCTCGTCGGAGAAGGACAGTGACCGGCACTGGCGCTTGCTGGGGGGCGCAGAGGGGTTCCCGTTGTGGTCACTGAGGCTGAGGTCTTTGATCAGGTTGGTGACCGCGCAGGCGGTGGCGGCCTCCCGGTGCCACAGAGCGCTGTCCTGACACTTCTCAGGCAGGCACTCCCAGATGCTGGCGCTCGGCTGGTCAATCTGAAGAGAGCACTTCCTGTCCAGGTCTCGCCATCTGTCATTTTCTGGTTCATAAATGACAAAGAGAAACAGGATTTGAGGAGGCCTTCATGCCAGTCCTCTATCTCCTCACCAAGAACCCGTCTTAAGCAGGAATTTAGAGCTAGAAAGGCCCTTAAAAGCCATCCAGGGCGACCTCGATTTACAGATGAGAAACTGAGGCCCAGAGAGGGGATGTGAGTTCCCAGGTGCTGAGTTAGACGCAGAGCAAGGCCTAGGATCCAAGCACTGCCCAGGATGCCTGGCACGGCTTTCTCTCCAACGCACCGTCCTGCCTCCCAGGAAAGTCCACATCACTATTTTTCACCCAAAATGCTTCTCATTTTCTAGAAGGGAAACTGACTTGTCCCACCCCCCCACCCGGCCGGCAGCAGAGTCGGGTGACATGTCGGTGACATCCCGTGTCAGGGCTCTGGGGCTGGGACTCAGTGCCCTGGCAGAAGGCCATGACCAAAGACGACTCTGCCGTACTTTAGGGGCTGGAGGTGCTGCCAGGTTAGTTCATCTGAAGCCCATCTTGAAAACACTTGCTGACAACAGAAACTGAATATTTCCTTGATTTAAGTCCCCTCCACCAAAATGCTCCACAACATCAGCAACCAACAAGAGCTGCCAATCACTGAGGACTTTCCTTGCATTCACTTGCTTTCTTGCCAAAATAGAGAAAAAAGCAGCTAAAATCTATAGGGACAAGCCTTGGGCTGCAAAGACTTAAGGGAACAATTTAAACTTACGTTATCTGGGTCTCGACTTGAACACAGGAATAAATAAGCTCACCCTGCTATGAAAAGCTGACTTGGCACTTTGAACCTTTATTTTAGTGAAGTATTCAATAACTATTTATTGTTTTTCTCCTACGCGGAGCATTCTGGGCGAGCAAAGATAAATTTGACATGGTTCTTGTATTCAAGATCACGATACGAAAGCGAAGTTAAGAAATACGCCATGCTCCCAGAGATCGACGTATTAGCATGTTTCGATTTTTTTCTATTCTATACATATTTATAAACGGTGCAAATGTGAATACAGAGAGAAATATGACTTGAGTCAGTCTCAGTAGAAGGAGAGCAGTGAAACCTGAAATGACATTCAGAAGGTATGTCACGCACACTGATTCTCAGCACAATTACCACGCGTCCACCACGGGCGCCCTGGGTGGTTGCCATCACTGCCAGACGGGGAGAATGAGGCTCGGAGAGGTTGAGTAAGCGGCCCCGAGCCACACAGCTAACAAACGATGAGGGACTGGCCCAACCCGAAGTCCAAGCTGTTCTCACTTCACTGCAGCACTGAGGGAGCCACAGGGGAGCCTGACACTGGCCCTGTCCTCAGGGCAAGGACCAGTCGTGCAAGACAAGCCATGCCTCAGGAAACTGTGACGTCACCCACACAAGTGCTCCAGGCAGCTGGGACTGCAGAACCAGCTCCCCTACCGGTGGCCACTTTTCCAAGGGCACTGAGAGACACACCCAAGGGACCGACCCCAGGCTGAGTGTCACAAGCAGCAGCTACATGACAGGTTCAAAGGGAGTGACCGATGAGGCCCAAAAGGAGATTCACAAGCCCAAGGAATTGCCAAATCAGGGCTAAATGTGACCACCTTCCTCCAGGGCGCCCTGTGTCGTCTGCAGTCATGAGACGCGCAGAGCCTGAGGGGGCCGGGACCCTGGGCCGGGGACATGGGAAGAGTGGTCCAGAGGCTGTTCCCACGGGAGGGCCTTAGAAGCTGGAGATGCAGGAGAGAGATTTGCCTCAAGCCCAGCAGGCCAGCTGGGAACAAAGCAGGTCTGTCACTAAACGTCCAATTCATCTCATCCCTGAAATCTTCCCAGGCCCTGGCGCACGGCAAGTCTCCAGACGTGCTCCTTCAACTGAATTTGACAAATCATTACCAGAAGTTACCTTCTTGCAAATAGCATTTATGTTGTTCAAAACAGGCCTTCACTATCCACTACTCCTCGAATATTCGCCATTCTTTTCTAAAAGAGTATCTTGCCAGCAGTTGAAAGTTCAGCAAACTAACACAATACTAAATTAAAACACTGAAGTAATACTAAAGTAAAAATTTTAAAAATATAAACCCACATCGACTGAGTTGCGACCAACTCTGTTATCTGATTTAGAAGAAAAGTTATCCTCAGAAAAAAGTGGAGATTTATGTTTAATGATGTTCTTCAAAATGATATAAGCGATAGCAAAATGGTAAACACAACTAAAATGTCCCACAGTAGGGGGCTGGTTAGATGAAGTATCAAGGAATAACATGGAGCATGAAAAAAGCAGCTTCAAAGAATATTAATGATGTGAGGAAATGTTAATGATGTAATACTAAGCATAAAGAAACAGGATATAAAACTGTATAGACAGCATGATTCTTATTTAGTAGAACACATATGCTGTGTGGGAAGACAGAAAGGAATAAACCTAAATGTTCATGGCCAATCGGCAGAGAGCTGGTTGATTTTTCTTTTTGGTTCCCGAGAGTTTCTGTGTTTTCTATAAGGACAATTATGTGGAGAACCTGACCACCAAGCCCACAGGTGCTGTGCCAGGCTCAGGGCCAGGCTCACAACCATCCTTCTCTGGGCTTGTTCCTTTGGTCTTTCAGGAAGTTCCCATCAAACTACGCTGGCCACCAACTTCTCCTTCTGGACAAGGCACTGAGGCGCCAGATGGGCCACAAATGTGGCCGACTGAGGAAGGAACTAGGGGACCCAACCAAGGGCAGTGAGGGCCCCAACTTCCAACTAGAGTCCACTAGAGAAGGTCTCGCTCCAGGCCCTGGGAAACCCGGGGAATTAAGAGATTGATCCCACCCTCAGAAGGTACCACTTTCTGTTCCATTTTTACTTCACTGCCCTGGAAGCTTCCCCATCTCCAGGGGAGAACAAAGGGGGAACTGGGAGCCAGTTAACAAGCACGGACGTTCTGTCTCCATCATTCGGCAGTGCCATCGCTCTCTAGCGGCCATCTTGTGATCTCGGTGCTTCTTGACTAGACCCCTTGGGCCTCCCTACTCCAGTCCCAACTCCTTTCTGCCGCCAGAGAACTTTCTGAGGTCATGGTCCATCCCCTCCCGCAGCTTCTCATTGCCCCCTCAAAAAAATGCAGACATTTCATCCTGGCATCCAGATCCCCACCTACTCATGGTCCCCCTACAGGCCCTACACTCCAGGCACACCCAACCTGCCGTGACATCAAGAGTCAGCCCAGAATCAGACAGAGCCAAGATCATCCCTAAAAATGCCTGAGGCCATAAAGCCACTCCTCCTGGTTTTGTGTACACAGTCCTGAAGAGTGACTCTTCTGCACCAGCAATTCTTT